TTCAGGGCCTCGCAGTCGGAGGGGCCTCCAACCAGCAAAAGTAACGCGGCGCAGTATCAAGTCCCGTAAGAATCGCCGATCCATCATGGGGATGAGAGGAAACGACCCTAAACATGGATGTTTTCGTTCTGACGTGACAGGAACGTATGCACGCTGGGTCAGTTCTGCCGCTCGCGGCCCTCGCGCCCTCGTGACGGCGAGGAGGGCCCTGGGAGGCTGGTCTCGGCAAAGGATATTTGGGGGTTTGGGATGATCGAGGCCCGTGGGTGCCGAGAGCAGGTGTCGCCCGCGGCCCCAACGGTGCAGTAACGATGATGATGATGATGATGGCCATCCCCGGCGAGGGCGCAGGCTCGGTCCTCGAAGGCTCCTGTGGGAGGTGTGGACACGCGGCTGGGGGGAGGGGACCCAGCGGAATACAACTCCCAGCATGCCTTTCTGCTCGCCCCTCATCAGCGAGCCAATCCCCTTGCAGCGCGCTGCCTGAGTAGGGGGGGGCCTCGCTTGACTGACAGGGCGGATAGCCTATGGGTGTACAGGTCGCCTCAGGAGGTGAGCCTTTTTCCTGAGGGGGAGACTACAACTCCCAGCATGCCTTTCTGTCCCCCCCCACACCCCCCCAGCTCTTTTCGGGGGTGGGTAGGACTTGCTTTGACTGACAGAGCGAGCAGTCCGCTTCACAAGACGCGGGGCTTTTCCCCTTCAGCAGTGTATCGGAGAGGGCCTCTTCTCGCTGATAGGGCACGGCGCGGATAAAGACCCGCCTTCTTTGAAGCAACGCGTATGCCCATAGGGTGTTCGGCCTGTCAGCCAAAGGAAGTCGTTCCCCGCCCCCCCAACTGACTGCTGCGAGCCAATCCCCTCGCAGCGCTCTGCTCCTTCCGGGAGTGGGTGGGAACTCTTTTCACTGACACAGCAAGCAGCCTATGGGAATGCGCGTCACCTCCCAAGAGGCGAGTCTGGTCCCGCCCGGCGGCCTATCGGCTGCGGAGAGAGGCGGGGTCTGGACGAGTGACGGCGCAGACAGCCAATGGGTGCGGCCGCGGCCGGGCGGGTCGGAGGCGGTGGCGTCGGCGGGCAGAGGCCGCCATGGGCTGGTGGGGCCGGGCC